GAGGGGCCCGGGAATGACGGCAGCTGGAGGCCAGATGTGGAAGGCAAGCCGGAGGAAAAGGGCCAAAGGCAGAACGCACCCCCCCACCCCCCTTAACCCCCGTTTTCCCCCGGCTTTCCGGGACCTCCGAGGAGTTTGGGCAGAGAACGGCCACCCTAGACGGACAGCACCGCCACCACCCAACCCCCTCCTGGCCCTTCCTGTCTGGTGACCCAACCCTTGGTGATATGGGGGGTAGTGGGGCAACGGTCCGATGGTATCGCCACGGGGCTTACCCCATTCCCCACCCTGTTGATTCCTCTCTCGAAGGGCTCTGCCCACCTTCCTTCGCTCCTGCCCTGAGAGGCTGCTCTCACCCCCTCGCCGCTGGCCCAGCTGGCCCCAGAACCTCAGTCACTGGGGTGAGGGGGCCAGTTCTGGGGAAGAGTCGAGTTGGGAGCCTGCGGAAAGGAATGCACATCCCGGGGCGAAGAGCTTTTTAAAGGCAGGCAGGCAGGCATGCCACCTGTCTGCCCTGAACAACTTCCCAGCCTTCACCGTGGGGCAGGGATGGGCAGACTTCCTTCTCTACAGTCAGCCCTGGAGGTGTTAAGACTGTTTTCTGGGTCAGGCGGTGGTGGCGCACGCCTTTCATCCCAGCGCCCGGGTGGCAGAGGCAGGCGGATCTCCGTGAGTTCGAGGCCAGCCTGGGCTACAGAGCGAGCTAGCTCTGGGACGGCCAGGGCTACACGGAGAAACCCTGTCTCGAAAAACAAACAAGCAAAACGTGTTTTCTGGGTGGGGGTCAGCTGTGAGGGGCTTCCGGACGGAGGATCTGACCAAACCCTCACTCCCCCCCCCCCCAGGCCTGTGCAGTGGGACTGATTGCCATTGGTGTGGCAGTTCAGGTCGTCTTGAATCAGACCATCACCCACGAGACCACGCCTGGCTCCCTGTTGCCTGTGGTCATCATTGCAGTGGGCGCCTTCCTCTTCCTGGTGGCCTTTGTGGGCTGCTGTGGAGCCTGCAAGGAGAACTACTGTCTTATGATTACAGTGAGTGGCGTGGAGGGCAGCGTGACTCCTGGGAGTACCAGAGGGCATTTCTGTGGTGAGGTGGGTGGGTGAGGAGCGCCAGGAGTGTTCCGGGAATTGACCGGGTCAGAGCAAGCCCTTTAGATCCGGACTTTCACACCCGACTCCTGTCCTGTGCTCCTGCAGTTCGCCGTCTTCCTGTCTCTCATCATGCTGGTGGAGGTGGCCGTGGCCATCGCGGGCTATGTGTTTAGAGACAAGGTAAGCGGAGGGGGGCCAGGGGAGCCCTGGCTTGGGTTACTCGGGGACTCTGGGGCCTGGATTCCGCTCTCTACAACATGCCTCCCTTACTCGTAGGTGGAGTCAGAGTTTAATAAGAACTTCCGGCAGCAGATGCAGAATTACCTCAAAGATAACAACACGGCCCTGGTTCTGGACGGGCTGCAGAAAGAAGTGAGTGGGAAGGCTGGGGAGACGGGCTGGGGGGTTGAAGAGGCTCACAGAGTGAAGGCTCCACTGGGCAACCTCGCCTCCCCTCCCGCCTCCTTCTAGTTTGGGTGTTGTGGAGCCAATAACTACACAGACTGGGAGAACATCTCTGGTATGGCCAAGGACCGAGTCCCCGACTCCTGCTGCGTCAACATTACCGTGGGCTGTGGAAACGATTTCAAGAAATCCGCGATCCACACTCAGGTAGGAGGAGGCGCTGGACTGGGGACACTTGGGAATACTTCAGGAGGCAGGAGAGGTGCTGATGGGATCAGGGTCGGGGATGAGATCTGGGGAGGGGAGGGGTTGGGAGAAGGGGACAGGAGGTCCAGAAGAGAGGTGGGGAGGTAGGCAGGACGTTTCTGCTGCTATTCATGCTCGCCTCTTCCCTCCAGGGCTGTGTGGAGAGTATAGGGGTCTGGCTGAGGAAGAAGATATTGCTGGTGGCTGCAGCAGCTCTGGGCATTGCTTTTGTGGAGGTGAGATATGCTGTGGGTGGGTGGTCTGAATCAGTGGAGGGCATTGCTTTTGTGGAGGTGAGATATGCTGTGGGTGGGTGGTCTGAATCAGTGGAGGGCATTGCTTTTGTGGAGGTGAGATATGCTGTGGGTGGGGGTCTGAATCGGCCCAGGGCATCTGGGGAGCAGGAGGGACTGGCCTGGAAGAGGACTGGCCTGGAAGAGTGGCCTTCGGATGGGTCTGGGGAAGCTGGCCCTTTCTCCTTTCCTCCCTCACTCCCGTCTCTCCTTTCAGGTCCTGGGCATCATCTTCTCCTGCTGTCTGGTGAAAAGCATCCGAAGTGGCTATGAAGTCATGTAGGGGTGGGGGGGGGTCTGGCCCTTTTCCGTCTTTTCATCTAAGGGAGTGGTTTCTCCAGGTTTTTCAATTAAACGGATTATTTTTTCAGACCTAAAAAGGAGATGGTCTCAGTTTATCTTAGCGTGATGGATGGCGCCCCTTCCTTTTCTTTCTCTCTGTCCCTGGGGGAGTTTGGGAAAGGAGCATCTCGTCGGTGGGGATCTGAGGAGGGCTGAGTCCTCTCCCTGACCTGGCTTGTGTTGCCTGCCTTCAGTGTCCTGGAGTACTTGTGAGGCGTCCCCTGCATAAGTCAAAGGCCTTCTCCACAAGGGGCCTGCGTGGCAAAGCCTGGCCAGCGGACGGACTCCTCCCCTCAGCCCTCAAGGAGAGAATGGTTCAGTTGCTTGTCTCTGACCTGTGTGGCCAGTGTCCCCGATTCTTAGCCTTAGATAACAGGGGAGTTTAAGTATTTCCTTCTTCCAGGGAAGCCACCCAGTCCTGCCCTGACCATCCTCACCACCTTCTGTCCCCAGAAACATTAGATAACGCCCTGCCAGGTGCAAACACTCACTACCCCACGTAGAAAGATCGGACAGAAGTGCCCTCTGGTGGCCATCTCTCCGAGTGCAGCTCCAAAGAGCATCTCCAAGTGCAGGGCAGGTCCTTACGCCCCCCAGTGGACAACACAAGTTTTGCAGGCACCAAAGAGGCCAGAGAGTCCCGGTCCTGGGCAGTTTAGGGATTTTTTAGATACTAAATCTTGCCAGGCTCCCACAGGTACCTTCATTTCTGCCCACCTACTTTGCCTTTTAAAGCAATACGTATTTATTGAGAGCCGACTCCGTGCCAGGAACGGGGCAGCACCAGAGTGGAGACAGACAGAGTGGAGAGCTGGCGTCAGTCAATTGCCTGGGCAGGCCGGGGAAGGACCCAGGTGAGCACAGCGTCCACCAGGCTGGCCGGAAGGTAGGAGGCAGGCAGCCAGAGCAGCTTGGCGTCCCAGCCTGGGCTGTAGCGGGTTCGGGGGTGACGAGCTGTCAGGGCATGCTCCAGGCAGCTGGTCACCTTAGTCAGGTCTGGGTCACAGATCAGGTTCATGATGCGGCGCTGCACCTGGAGATCTTGGAAGATGCTTGACGTTAGCGTGCCCATGCTCCCTGCCTCCCTCCATCCCATCTTAGGCCGTCTTACAGATCACCTGCCCAGTCTGGGGAGTGGCACCACCTCCCCCTGCCTGCCCCCTTCCTCTCTACGAGGCCTGACCTTTCTGGCGCCCCCCCCCCCACCTTTCCTGTCATGCACTCAGTATGTGCCCAGCTACTCACAAGAAGTGAGGAAGGCTTCCCCATAGCGGGCCTGTGTAGCCGGTGGTAGCTGGGCCCAGCAAGCCTTCAGGGTGTTCTCCAGACTCTCCAGGTTGGTCACAGGGGTTCGGAAGAAGCCAGGCTCCACAGTGGAGACTCGTACTCCAAATGGAGCCATGTCCCGCCTGGAGGGTGGGCGGAAGGGTTTCTGGGTTTATACCCTAGTTTCCAGCGTGAGGGATCTAAGATGGAAAGGTGTCAGCAGCGTGGGGACATGTGTCCTGACAGGAAAGGCTATTACTGCTGGTTGGGCTGTGCGTGGTAGGTAAGCGACGGAGCCACACCGTCACCAGCCCAGGGGAGGTATCTTCACTCTGTTTTCCTTGTATTTTCTTTTTAAAAAATAGCATTATTTATATGTGTATTGCATGAGTTCACGTGCACCGTGTGTGTGCAGGAGCCTTCACTGGTCAGAAGGTGTCAGATCCCTTGCAACTGGAGTTACAGGCTGTGATGAACCATCTTGTAGGTCAGGGAACCAACCCTGGGTCCCCTGCAAGAGCAGGAATCACTGTTATCCTCTGAGTCATCTCTCTGGCCCCTT